GGTTGCGTGAGACGAACGTTATCGAAAATATGCCGGTAGAAGTGCCAGCATGTGTATTGCTGGATTCACACTAGATCCGACGTGCGTCGGATCAGAATTTTGCTTCGTATCATCGATACGAAATAAAATTCTGTTTTCTGATTGGCTGCAGAACGTCGCACATCGAATCCAGTGTGAATCCAGCATATGTGCGAATGTATGGCGCGCGGTGCGCGAATTAGATGCGAAGAAGAATGCGAGGGCGTATTCTTTTTCTTCTTCCGCTAGAGCTCGAGAGACGAAAACATTACTATACTCTGTTCAAGAGAACGATCTCGGTTTGCGCATAGCAGGCAATGTAAAGCGGGGAGTACAGATTCTTGCATAATGCATAACACATAAGGCATAAGAAAATGAATCAATCAAAGTGTTTTATTTCTTTCCTTTCCATAACATAAAGGATTGGTTCATTTTCTTATGCCTTTTATGGAAGAATCTGTGCTCCCTACTTTACGCTGTATAACGCTATGATGACCTGCGCAAATCGGACAAGTTTTCGTCCGATCCGAGGTCATTCACTCGTTGAACGAAATATAGAAAAAACATTTTTGAGCGTGAGCAGTTTTCGATAGAATCGAGCGAGAAATCATCTAGAAACAGAGTTATGAGAGTTGTAAGAGATTGCGCGTTGTGATGTGTAAGAGCGAGTTTTTTTAGAATCATCCGCGCGAGAAGAAAACTGTAATGAGTGCCGATAGCCAATCGTTTGTGAGCAAATATATATTGAACTTGTATCGAATTGTTAGCGAGGTGCTATCTTTTGTTCCTGAACCCAATACTCTACATATACATATTATAATATAAAGTTGACAATAATTTTTTTAACTGTGGAAATAATTAAACATTTTATTTGTATAGCTACATAGTTGCATTTTTTTGTGTTAAAATTGATATTTTATAAAACAAGCGTACAATATTGGTTATTTTCTTATCAATGATCTTATTAATTTTCTATACAATAGTGAAAATTTTTGGTGAAATTTATATGTATTTTTTTCAAAGAGGAATTGTATTAGAATTTAAAAAGAACTGAAAGACAGAAATATGAAATAATAATTTATCATCCGTCAAAAATTTGAGGTAATATATCAAAATTTTATAACATTTTACTTTCGATAATACAAGAATTAATAATGGTTTACAGCATATACGTAGTTTTGTACGCATCACATGATTTCCTGTAAAAAGGAATTTGTACATAAATGCATATATTTACATATATAAATGTTACGTACTAATAAATCTCCAAGTGCCAGCGAAAGGACGTACATATTAGGTACGTTTCTCATGTTTGTGTGTCGCAGGATCATAAGAGCAAGCACGCTATTACCAACAAGACCAATTAGCAAGATCAGAAGAAAGATTATTGGTACAAAGTACGTTTCTGGTCGTTCACTGTATGGCGTATATTTTTCTTCCTCGACAGTGATATTTTTTGTTGTATTGCCAACAAAGTCACTGGCTTCCGTGTAATTTGCCGTTAGTGTCAATGGCGTTAATAATATTGTCATCATTAACATTATAATCGCGGAGAATGACGAGGTACTTGTTGTATATGACCATGACGTAGCCATTCCTATTTTCGTTGTTCTATAGTCCTCTTTACATTTTGATTTTTCTTCTTTTGTCCAAATTAGAATTTTGAACGCCAGTAACAGTTACGTGCACCAGCTATAAAATAAAAAGAATCGTTAATGAGATTTTTACGTACAAAAGACTTGAAGCTCTTTATTATTTATTTGTGTCTCTTTGACACTTTATTTTCGTTTTTTTTTATATACGTATGAGCATAATAAAATATATAATGTTTGAAATATTCTGTTAAAAATATACGATAATAACGAGGATAAATTCTGTGAATAAATATTCCATATAATTGAAGGTTTATTAAATTGACTATATGAGATTATAATTCTCTATAATATTATAATTAACTAGGTCAGCCGTGAATCCGTGATGTTGCATGATGTTTATATTTAATGTTTAACATAAAACAATTTCACATCAGATATTTTGAAAAATATTGTATGTTGTAAACACACAAATCATATGTTTGTGTATATCTAGAAAATTAATCAATAATATTTTACATAGAGGAAATTATATAATATATACATAATACATATGTTATGTAACAGTATCTTCGCAATTTGCTTTTTAATTCTTTTTCTTTAACGTTTTATTTTTTGTAATAAAATTACATTATATCGGCTACGAAAATAATATTTATTTAAAAATATTTGCTAAATTAATTAATTCTGTTATCAAAGTACATAAAAAGGCAATGTGAGATAAATTGATCGCATATTCCGTCAGAAACAGTTCCTCAAAATATCTTTTCGAGGAATTATTTCTGATGGAGTATTGAGACAAAATATAGAAAACGCATGAAAATCCTTATTTTAAAATTAACATATTTATTACATTTTTAAATTAAAATATTTATATTA